TCATCGCGCTGTCCCCGTAACCTCAAAGCCACCTGTTCATCAGAGCCGGGCCCTAGAGCCTGTTACCCCGCTTCTTGTCTGCAGCGCGTCCCCGCGTATCTATACCTCGACCACCACCTCCAATTCACTAGCGGGCAAGTACTAGTACTTGCCCTCCCCATCTTGGGCGCCGACCCCCGCTAGCATTCGGCCACTTAACCTCACAGCGTCGCCCTCGTCCTCCACCATGATGCCTATGCCATCCTCCCATTCGCCCGTCTGCTGCCAACCTGACCCTCTTTGTATCCCTTGTACTTGATCAGCGCTCGCACCGACAGGCCATCTGCTTCCTTGGATATCATGATGATCTACTGCCTCCAGTCTGGCCGTCGTACCCTCTGAAAGTGGTCCTGAAGCTGTACTATACGAGCATGACACTACACTCTATAGGCGCATCCTGCTCTCCCCAGTGAAGCTGTCTCGTGCTGCCGCCTGCCTGGCTTAGGTCTTATCGCCCCGTCTGCCGCCATGTCGTGAGTCTTTCCACTATATCCGTCTCGTCTTGTCCCCATGCTGCGACTCTGAGATACTCCCCCTACTCGACTCGGTACCTTGCCGCGCGCGCTGACGTTGTGGCCCCCGACAGCTCCTCGCCCTCCACCAAGCGTAGCCTGAAACCGTCGCCCATTGCAGCGAACCCCCAACCGAGCGTTCAGTACTCTGGACCGCCAGAGCTGCCCAGTCTACAGCCAGCGGCGTCATTCACCACGGCGAATCCAGAGGCTCACACTGGCGCTCAACCGCCACTGCCATCTCCTACGAGCCGAAAGCGCAAGTCTGTGACCCTCGGACAGTCCCAGGAACAAATGGCAGGTACTGCAGATAGTGCAGAGGCGCAAGCGAGTAGTGCTGTGTTGCCACCAACGGCTGATGTCGATGCTGCACAGGAGCCCAAGACCAAGAAGAGTCGGACAAACACGCCTTGGACGCCAGCTGAGGAATTGAGATTGAAACAAATGAGAGATGCTGGAAATAGCTGGAGCGAGATCGCAAAGGTGAGGAGAGCGCTTGCCGGATCAGACAACTGCCGTGTTCCCGGAGAACAGTTAGCTGACTTGGCCTTTGGTAGACGTTCCCGCAGCGGACAGAAGGGAGTGTAAAGAAACATTGGTACAAGGTGGGCATGCGACCAGTACTGTTCCACTGCGGACCCTCTAACTGACCTTCAAGGACATGCACTATGCCGAGTTCGCTGAGGACGAAGTGAGTTAGAGGCTATATCTCCGTTCCTTTGAAAGTGTGCTGATGAGTAAGAAGAGCGCCGCGCTGCTTGCCGCCATCAAAGAATACGATGCCAACAAATGGAAGGTCATCGGTCAGAAGGTTGGCAAGCCTGCAAAAGTATGTCTTGATCGACTCCGAACGTAGTCTTCGTGTGCATGAGCTTGTACTGACGTGCACCAGGCATGCGAGCAGTACGCAAAGGAGAATTTTGGCGGCAAGTACTGAACGACACTTATGATCACAGTCTGCATCTTTCCGGAATTAGTGCGGTGGGGCCCGCTTATGATACCAGCTTTCCTATCTTGATCGAGCATCGCATGCGCAAAAGTGCTGTGGGCATCCGTTCGTCCTTCTTGGTGTTTCCGGACGTGGTTCTCGGCAGCGGAGTACACAAGGCATTAGTCGCCTTCTCTTTCCAAAAGATGCTTAGCAGTTTTCGGCAACGCTGACCAATGTTATTGCGTTTCTCCGCGGTCATCCTTTCGCTTCGGGATTTGGTTGTAGTCCTGAGGGAGCTTCCATCCTGGATATAATGTCGAATGTCTTTACTTAGCAATAGTCGGCAATGTATCCATGCCATAACGGATTGTCGCATGTGGGGAGCATCTCAAAGTCTGCCTGTCGAAGCGGCGATTGGCCGATCTTGCTTGTGTTATCGTTTCACGTCAACGAACAGTTGGGAGAGTTGGTTTCGGTAGCCTGCAGCGGTTCGTTGAATGTTTCAACCCCTCGCCACACCACACCTCAACGTTCCGCCTCACCTACTGCCGCACGCAGATCGGCAGAATCCGCCTGGCTATTTGTAGCACACATAGACGACGCGCCTTTGCCGTCAGTGTAGCAATCATGGCGCAGAGGAAGATCGCTGTTTTCTTTTTCGTGCGATCAACGGTGTCGTTGGGGCGATCTGAGTTGCGACGCCCACGTGTAACGGCATGAGTTACCCAGAGTCCCAGACGAACGCTCCGGCTATGCTACCGAACCATATCAACGGGCGCGCGATGTGGTCGCGACGCGCTTGCAAGAAGCCGTGCCGTAACGTCGACAGTAGATTGCGCGTCGGGGGACTTGGTCGCCCACAATGCGCCGCAACGCGCTTCTACTCACCGTGTACATGCGCTGCACGCGCTCCGCTCACGACGCAGGCCAGATGACATGGCGGCGTGGCCGCGGTGAAGGGCGCGGTCTGTTGGACGGAGCGTGGTGAGGGCTGCATCGTGCAGTTCCGCGAGCCTATAGTTCGCAATGGCGTGCATCAGCCTAAATGGATAATGCGCCGTTGGTCGAGTACTTGAAGATTGGCAGACTATCGCTAGGCCTGAAAGTCGTACATGGCGACGGCGGTGAGGTCATAGCGAGGGCTGCAGATGCAGGGAGATCCCAGCCTCCAGCCGGGGAGCGCGTCTGTCGTGAAGTCGTCACGTGAGAGAGGCTGGTGGTGAGGGCGCGCCAGGAGGATGCGGTTGCCTCTTCGGCGAGCGCATCCGTCGTGGCGCACATAGGGCGACCGTGTAGGCAGCGGCACGACGCCCTGGACTCGCGATGCCTCATCTCGCCCATGCAGTCGAGAGATGACCTGTATGCGAGGCTTGCGGGCCAGAAGATCGCGGCCGGCTGCGATTCGACGTCGACGCTAAAATCGGGAACTCGCTACTCAGGCGAGCCCGCTGTCGTCCTCGCTTGCTCCTTCTCCCCACAACGCCTCACGCATTCGCCCTCCTCAAACACCTGGCTGTTGTCTCAGGTATACTCTCGCGCAGTGCCCATCTCTAATTGCCACCAGCACTCCGTACACCCGCTGCGTCTGCAGCAGGCCGAAGTGCGTCATCCAATGCGGGCGTCGGGATATTTCTGTGGCTGGTAGATCCCAACTCATGGGGGGTGACGAAGCGCATATAGGGCAGGGTCTGACTCTATACCTTGAAACGGCCCACGCATGAGCCAATCTGAGGCCGTCATGCCTATGCGTTAGAGAACCATGACCGAGAGCCCTGCCATCGCTCGGTCCCACTGCTTACAGGCGGGTGCTACGGCTGCGTAAATGCCGGCATCGACAGCTGTCCTGCCCTGATCCGAGTACCGCTTCTTCGCCAGCAGCATCATGCTTCATGGGGCCCTGAGCCCGGGTAAGGCTCTTCCAGGCATGAAGTGCCGTCGACTGAGGCACCGGGCGTGTATGCCATTGAGATGCCATGAAAAAATGCCATCATTGTCACAGCACCCCTCTGCCAGGCCGTTTGGAAGCACTCGCCTCCGAGCATGACCCGAGCACCTCTCCCGCGCTCCTGGCTCCGTGTCTGGTAGACTGCGTCTCATCAATCTGGCAGACGGCGCTCGCTCGTGGCGCTGCCTCTTCGGGGAATCGCCTCGAGCCCCTGCCGTCTTGCTAGCCGGTTCAGAACGTCTTCAATGCACATCTCCTGGCCACCACGCTGCGCCAGGATCCCTCCTGCAGCGCCTGCAACGGCGTTGGAGATCTTTCTGGCGGCATTCTAGAAATAAACGACGATGGCATGGACCGCGCACGCCCCGGGCCCCACCGACCCTCGCAAGCCGGGCACAGTACCTCATGCCCATCTCATTTTGCATCAGCAGCCACTCACGACCCACGTCTGCGAGCATTGTACTCGTCCAGATCGCATGCCGGGGGCCCCCTCCTTGTCATTGATCACCGCATTATGCTTGACGTAGAATCAGTTCCTGGGCCTTCCCTACTAAGCTCATTTGGTGCTCCTCAGGAACAGAGCGTCTCGTGGGGACGACCCATTGCTGTACATGCTTGGATCCTGTGTCCGTGTGGCAATCGCACAAGACGGACCGGGCTTTTGAAGGGACCTACTGCCCGAGATTTCTCATGCCTTCTCCCATCAGGCAGGAATCTTATATTCCACGAGCATCCCCAGCCATACGTACTTTTCGTTTGTTCCCTACAAGGCTACAACCTATATTCGACAACCCAGACGCTTAACACACGCGATAAGACCTCGACCGATGGCGCGTTCCCCTAGGCCTTTCTTGCTCCAACATTTGTCAATATAACAAAATTCGAAATACCCAAACGCGTGCGATACAGCCATCGCAACTCCGAACACCAACTCAAACCAGGCATCCTTTTTCTGGCTCAGGTCTCACTGCGGCGGCCTGCCAGAGCAACCTAGCTCTGGTAGTCTCCATGCGTGATCGCAACACTGGCGAGTCCCTATCGAGGCCCTTTCCTCGACTACAGCGTACCAGGCGATGCCGGGGAAGAACATCACATACCGACCTCAAACGTCGAACATCAAAATGTCCTCCATTCCCATACCGGATTGCCTCCGGGATACCACCCTCACTCCTTCCTGCAGCCACACCAGTCTCAAACGCTGCAACATGCCGGCGCCGGCCACCACCCTACCTACACGGACATCGACACACATTCATTACATCAACCCCATCTTTTGCGCCATCACTCCATGTCGCAACACTCGCCATCTTCCTACAACGTGGGCTACCCACCGCCGCCCCAGCAGACCGCCGGACGCAAGCGCAGCCACCAGGACGACTTGCAGCACGAACTGCCTCCGAGCTTAGAGCAGCAGCTCAATCCCTACGCACAAGCAACGGGAAGCGTCTCACTACAACACGCGACCCAGGGTTACTCCCTTCAACAGTATCCGCCGCCCGCTCCACAGTCCTCTTTACCTCCCACACATCACCACCATCTGCCAAATACTCATCGCAGTAAGAGACATCACCCGATGGAGGGCCAACCTCCCTCTCCCGCTCAACACCATGGTCCTCCTAGCGTAGTAGGTCAAGAAGGGATGCCCCCACCAGCGCAACGACCCCGCGGCCCAAAGCTCAAGTTCACGCCCGAGGACGACCAGCTACTCGTCGACCTCAAAGAGAAGAAAAACCTCACCTGGAAGCAAATCGCCGACTTCTTCCCTGGCCGCAGTTCTGGCACACTCCAAGTGCGGTATTGCACGAAGCTCAAAGCAAAGACCACAGTCTGGACGGATGATATGGTAAGTCGCAACCCTAGTCATGAAACGCGCGACGTCGTACATCGCATCCACAATCTCCGACATGCTAACCATAACCGGCAATACAGGTGGTAAAGCTTCGCAACGCCATGCAGGAGTACGAGAACGACCGATGGCGCATCATTTCCTCGAAGGTTGGCAGTGGCTTCTCGCCCGCCGCGTGCAAGGACAAGGCCGAGGCACTTGAGGCTGTGGAGTTGGCTGCGCAGGAAGAGGAGGAGGAAGAATCACAACATCGACAACATCAACACCAGGGTGCCTACTCCTCGTCTCAGATGGCAGCTGGTCCCAGCGATCCCGGCGCAAGTTACCAATGACTGGCCGACTCTAACTGCGATGGGCTGGCTGGCCAGTTCGAGGGCTTGCGTGCATGGTGAGAACAAAAATATGAACAGCAAGCATGCGCGTAGGCGGAAGGGAGGCAGTGTTGCGGGGTTTGTGCTGGACACAAACCTGCCTCTCTGTGGTCGATTTCGGCATTTGCAATACTCTTCTGGGGCACACACCAGCCTCCTAATCACTAAACACATTTCCTTTACGACGTACCACGATTTGGGCCAACGGTATACCCTTCCTCTTCCAATACACACTCCTTTACAAATTACCTGCATACTTTGGATACTACGAACGATTATTCCTTCGACGCGCGACACATTCCAAGCGAGTCCAGCATTGCGGTGGCGTTGGGAAAGAGACGGCTCGGGCTGGTATCACATCCTCCAGGGAGCTGTTGGGAGTTTGAGTTGATATGGACGGCATTGAGAAAGAGTCGGCCAGCGTTCCGGATACACAACAAGGGTGTAGGGAGTGAAAGAGAAGGAAACGATACCCAGGCAGAGTCGGAAGGGGCGCATTCTCATTGGTCTTTGTTTTACTCGTCACTAAATCTTTTCCTTTGTACATCACTGGCGGTATCGTCATATGCTTTTGCTTATTTACATCCACGCATTGCATCTATTCTCTTCTATACATAATCGTTGCTTCTTCTCGCGCGACACAACCTTGCCAGACATCTCCTTCACATTCTGCATGTCTTACTAGACTACGGTCTTCGAGCCAACAACTGCATCTTGCGCTTGGTTCTCAGAATACCCATTTGTAATCTGTGGCTCACATTCATCTCCTACGTCCACCTCTCAAGGCATGACACCCGTCATTTAATGTCAAATACCCATACCCGGGTCTTCCATCGCAACTTCGATACGCGATTTGCGATCGCATGTAAATCATAACCCGCACTTGATATCAATAATTTGGAATGCTATTATGCGCATCATGTTCGCTGATGACCGTGTGTCAATGCCGGGGTTGTGGCTTGTGTCTCAACCACAACTATGGGTTTCAGATCAAGCAGTTTGAGATGCGCATCTGAGACGAATATGGCCGCGAAGATGAGATCAGATGCTTAAGCTTCATGTTACATGTCGATAGAATCATGAGATCTGGATGCGCATGGCATGATGCTTTACAGGTGGTGGTGGTGGTGGTGGTGTCATCGGAGTTGCGGCCGGTCGCGGATGCAATAAGTCAAACTTATGCTGGTACAGTACTTCCATCATGCGAGTGAGAGCTACAACTACAAGCTTGAAAGAAAGCAATTCCAAATTATTGCGCTGACACTCATTTCGCAACCTGATCAGAGTGTATTCAAGCAAGCAGTACATCCCTATCCAAACGCGATGCCTCAAGACCCAGCTCAATGCCTAGTCCACAGCCAACACCACTACGTCCCCAACTACCGTTTTCCAAATACTTTCATCCCTTCCCCACGCCGCTTCCCAACCGTCTCGAACTAATGACACCAAGGCATTATCACCCATTACCAAGATACACATGAGCCCTTGCCAACCGATCATACTTTCGATATTAAGAAAGCGCGGGCTGACCATGCCGCATGCGGGAAGGGGACAAACCTTGTTCATAATATCCGGGTTAGTGATATAGTACGTTGTTCCCGCACACACCTCGCTACTGTTGCGCCAAATGGCGTCCTTTGGTCAAAGTAGGATATGCAGAGCGGATGCGGGCGCGGGAGGCGAAGAAGGCGCGGTTGTTTGTTTAGGATAGTGAATTGCGACGCGAACTGGACGTTGGTCACACCGGTTGATAGACAAACCACCTATAGCACCCTATAACAACGTGCGCCTAGCTTCGCGACTATTGCCTACTAGTCTACGGAGCAGAAGAAGAAAAAAGTCTTCAAGTTGGGCGTTCACGATATGCGCTGGTTTGCATCCGACTCGTCCAAATCCCGAGCCAGTAGTGACCGTTTGTGCAGCACGATCCGACAAACCCTGTCGTAAGATTCCCTCTTGAGCACCCAGCTCGTCGTTTACTGGCCCGTACCAAGACGACCCTGGTCCTTAGCAGCCAGCTCGGGTGTGGCCACACGCACGCAACGAGCATGCCGCGGCAGGCATATGCTGGATTGGGGTTGAACCGGGGCGAGAGGGAGGTTTTGCTGACCCTGTGCAGGACGATCTCTTACCAAAGACATCCACCCGATGGGCTGATGATGATGATTATGATGATGAAGCTTTTCCGACGTGACCACTGCCATGGGCGCAGGCACACATGTCTCTCGCTTACACTTTCCATGGACCCTGACCGTGCAATCCCTTGCCTGTTGCGCCTATACCGCACCCCCCATGATTGTGGATGCTCTCTTTTTGCTCATCAGCTGTGCCGTAGCAGTAGCGATCTCCTTCTTACGTGTACTCCGCTTTATTTCGGGAGCTAGCAACTGTTGATCTAACCGACGAACGCAGAGGGTGGAGGTCACGAACGGAATACGCCGAAGGCGAAAGCGGAAGAGAAGCATCAGTGATCGACACGCCGCTGCAGTGGATATTGGGAAGCCTCACGTTGTGCCTTTTTGCTGGTAACGGCATCCTCGTCGGCCATGTGGCTGTGGCAAGACAGCCGTTTCATGTTTAGATGTTGAGGTGGCGATTGCTATGTTTACCATTTAATGATGGATAACGAAGTAACTGCGAGGCGGAAAGCGGAGATCGTGTACTCGTGATCGACGAGGACCTGTGCTACCGAGAGACATCGCTTAGAGATGCATCGCGGGTGTAGGCTTCATCGGGATGTGGGGAGAACTACAGAGTCACGGCAGGTACTCCGGAGTAGGTGGAGGCCGTTGGGTGAATGCCCAATTTGGCAATGACTTCGCTTATCCGCGGCCATCGATCTCATGAAAGCTGAATTCGCTAGTCATGCTCATCGTGCAGAGAGGCGTCTCAACAGATCGAGGGCACTGACGCGTGAGGCGTAGGTGTACTTGCTGATGTGGGGAGGCTTACTGAGCCCAACGCTGCTATACACATATGGTCCGCATCCTTTCCTTCGAAGACTATTGAAGACTACGTCATCCTCATCGTAACCTGCTTCTCGCGATACTTGAGCTGTCAATGAACTTGTGTTTCAATAATTCAAAGATTCACCGAGGTTTACCCATAAGTGATGCCTGACCGGTCACCTCCAAGCGTCAATGTATGCATCGCACCACCGCGGCGGCGATTGACAACAAGGGCTTGCTAGCTCGGTGCCTTGCTGCGCGATGCTGCACCGGCGCTGTGAACACCTGCATGTGCGCAGTACCCTGTCAATCGGTGAAGGAATATATCGAACGGGCGCGAGTAATACTCCGGCGCAGTGAGCGTTGTACCGTGCCGTCGCCGCATCCCGCCTTTTCGGTGCACTGTCAGAGAGGCAAGAGGCAACAATCCAGGAGCCCGGTAGATGGTCGGCCGGTTTCGAAGCAACCGGCTTTTCTTGCTGCTTCTGTGTGTTGCATACGATCTTGTGCGCCGCACAGCTGTCAAGTGTTGATGACGCGCCAAAAGCTGTAGCCCACAACATAGCGCGATGCGTGTGCCAGCTCCGCCGCCAACGGCCCGCAAATCTATTGGACGAATGTGAAAAATAGAAAGTGGAGTCGTAGCCAATAGTGTCGCCGAAAGTTGCTTCTTTTCGGGTCGCCCGTGAGGCGAGGTACATAGGCTATATGCGGAGCTGATATAGCTCCGCTTCCCACAACGGCAGAGCATGGTATCTGCGCAAACGCTTGGAAAATTTCGCAAGACCCGTGGAAGATGCCGTTCGTATCTTTGTACGTAAGCGAGCGCGGATGTTGTTAAAGTTCCGCAAGATAATCGTGAAGGTGGGATCACATGATCAAGGCTATCGTGAGTGTAACTACCATCATAATATGACACTTTGAGGCGCCTTTTACTAACATCATCCGCGATCTCATTACCTTAAAATTGCGGGCGACTGTCTTTTCGATGTTTTAACTGCCGTCAGTAACCCAATGTTTTTCACCTTTAGCGTTGCTCGCGTATGCGTAATGACAGTGAATTCTCAAGGGCACGGCGACAGAGATAGCTTCTTGACCAGTGGATGTAGCATTGTTACTTCGTGCATGAGGCGTGTCGTCGCTGGTTTTACCCGATACGTGATCTAGATCACAGCATGGTTTGGCTGCCCCGGTGACGCTGAGTGACAACGAAGGGTTACAGTCTGGCGGGTGTCGACGCCGCATACATGGAGGTCGGTTGGAACAAGTCGTGACAGTCTCGCTTATACATGTTTTGAACAGATAGCTCGAAGATTTCTAGGTAGGATCCATGAGTACCAGAGAGGACAGAAGCTAGACCGGCGCCTCAGGACGATTTGCTGCTTGTCGCTGCGAAAAGGGGCAGCATCGCGTTCTCTCCTGAGTCTTCCAAAGTCCAGGCCAAAAAAGCGAGTACCGAAGCAAATCCAGGTTTTCGTTAAGGCGAACCACTTCGCCAGCCAAGGACATCTCACTGCCACACCCTCACCCGGAGAAGCTCGCGGCTGGTCATCAAGGGCGCGTGGGTACGATGTAAGGGTCCACGCTGACTGGCTTCAGGATTATCGAATGCGCGTACTAGCAGACAGCGGCGTCGTGGCAGTGACGTGACGCTATTCGAGGGTACCCACCTACACTGCAGCAGCGCCGTGCCAGCAGTCAAGCCGCGGAGACCCTCACTCAGCGTCTCTTGTTCCTTATGGCACATCCGACGGCAATGAAGGCCACCACTGAGCAAACGCGCGTCCGGATTGACCGAGACATCACTCACCGGAGGCAAGCTGCGGGACTGATCTGGTAGCGAGCGATCCAACACACTCGCCATCCAGTTCAAGCCTGGTCGATAGTGGCCCAACGCTGACGATAGCACAATCACGATGCGCTGTCATATATTATTCGCCGCGCAATAAGACAGCGGCTATAGCCAGGTGGACATTGCCGTGCACGCGCTGTTGGCTGAGAGACTTAGTGATG